AACCGCTTAATAGCCCAGGTCGTTTCCAGCATCACTGCTTCGCTGAGGTTCGAGGGAGCTGTGAATCTCAGCCTCGAAGAACTGCAGACCAACCTAGTGCCTTATCCTAGGATCCACTTCGCCTTGCCTACCTATGCTCCTCTGATCTCTGCCAGGAAAGCTATGTACTCCGAAATTACCACGCAGCAGATCACGTACGATTGTTTCGAGCCTGCCAATCAGGTGAAACAGAAATCGATACTTGCTCGACGATCGCGAAATCGTTTCACCGTCTCGTCTCGTGAATTTTAGATGGTTACGTGCGATCCACGCACGGGAGCCTACACCAGTTGCTGCTTGCTCTATCGTGGGGACGTGAACCCAAATGACGTCAACAGAACGATACAGTCGTTGAAGGGGACGAAGTCGATTCGTTTCGTTAGTTGGAGTCCAACAGGGTTCAAGGTACTACGATATTCTATTTTTCTGCTCTTTTGTACTCTTCCCGGTGATCGGTCACGGGCAAGACAGAGGTGGAAGATCGGTAAACGATGCAGCGAATTCTTGAATCACTGTTGACGTACAGAGTTGACGTCGATGATTGAAAAAATTGATTAGTGCGTTGAACCGCGAATAGATAATCCCGATTTTTGTGTAACGAGTTGCGTGACGAACGTGTTTTGTCTCGTGAAATAAAGTAGGTATTTGCATCATCGTCTACGAAAAATAAAATGGACGATTGCGTTGGTAGGTAGGAATCAACTATCAGCCCACTACGACGGTTCCTGGCAGCGACCTAGCAAAATCGAAGAGAACAATGGTGATGATCAGCAATAACACGGCTATCAGACACAGATGGTCGATGCTCGCGCGAAAATTCGACTTGATGTACCAGCAGAAAGCTTTCGTCCATCACTACGTAGGAGAGGGTATGGACGAAAGCTTCTTCGAGGAAGCTCGCGGCAACATGATAGCCCTGATCGATGGTTATAAAGAGGTCGAGAAGTGACTCACGTATTCGCAGACTGTTTATACCAAAAAAGTTTTCCAAATCCCCCCCCACGATCACGGGCTTCGAGATAAGAAGATCAAACGAGCAATCGAATTCGCTGTTTCTTCGAATCGGACGTTCAAGGAGATTTAGAGCGAAAAATTTCAATATTTGCTACGCGTCGAGCCCAGGGAGCCTTGGTTTGTTTTCGCACCTCGAAAGGAAAAGAACAAAACGATTGCACGAGATAAGGAAGAATCACACGAAGATAAGCGGACAGGCCGCGGTAGACTTGCTGGCACCAATGACACGACCCAATCGTGTAATATTCGCTGTTATACTTGGCACGAGCATACATCGATAAGGAATCACGTTCCTTTCTACTCCGACTCGCGGAAACCTGCATGTTTCCACAAGCCACGAGCCACGAGCCACGAACCACCAGCTATCAAACGCGTATAATAACATTAGGCCTACTTCAGTTCACGTAACACCGTGCTTCTGATAAGCGATATCGAGTGATGGGTGATTCCTAACTGTATCAACGTATCATCCGCTTTGTTCTGGAAATAATTGCTCACCTATCTCCGTCACAAGGAAACCATTCGGGTAATCTGCAGGAAAATATCAGCGAAAATCTAGGGTATTGCAACGACGAGCAATCGTGCTTGCACGCGAATGATCTATAGCCTGTACTGATCCAGAGCTCGACAATAAAGTACTTTTTCCATCCTCGTCATCGCGAAAATATTCCTTTCGATCATGCGGATATCAGACCAGCCAATGGATCATTTATTAGAGTTAAAACGAATCTATCCCATCGGTTGTTCACGATCTTCGCGAGGAAACTTATCGCTGTCAATGATACAAATTTTTTGAACTTTGTCTCATCGCTCGATTTCGGGACATTCGAAATTAATTTCTCGATCGACACGTTTTCGATCGCGATAGCCTATCGGTAGATCATCGGACAGAACCATGCCCCCAGTGAAGATACGGCCACTCGAGAACCTTATCGTTCTCGCGTGTAAGTATGTACAATATATACGCGATCCGTTTGTATAGTACATAGTACATAATTTCCCTTCGAGACAATTGCTCCCTTTTCCCGGTCTTCGATTATCGTTCAACCTTGGTCGGTGTACCTCGACGAACGGTCATCATCGACCGGACAGAGGCGATCGGTCATTAATGTAATCCGCAGACAGACACGGAAAAAGAACGAAGACACGAGCTGTTCTTATCGAAATCGGCAATCGTATATCGCGATCACGTCGTCTCCTCTCCGCTTCACTCCGCGACGCCACGAAAGCTTCACGTGAATCATGAGACCTCTCTGTCCCTCTTGAACCACTGTGCATGCGTTCGAGTTTCTGCGCGTTACACGCGCCATCCCGTCTCCTTTCATCCAACGTGCTTTTCGGCTCACACCGTACGCCCCCGATGAACTCCACGATTTCTTCTCTCTTCTTTTTTCTTCTTTCTTGCAAATCTCTCGGGGTAAATTTTCCATCGATTGCTTCCGCTGGTGGAACTTTCTTCTCACGCAAGAGAACGTTGGATTACGTAGATCAGGCATCGGAACGAGGTCTAAGCAGTCGTTCCTAAATATTTCACAACCCCTGAAATGCATATGATGCGCATTTTAATACGTGTACAGAGGGAGAAGGCATCCGAGACGTTTCCCATATTAACCCAACAACGTCTCTCACTCTTTTCCTTTTTATTTAATATCCAAATAGTTCTCTCTCGAGCAAACGAGTCGAGACTTACAGTCGGGAGAGAGATTAATTGCCGAGGGGAATAAACAAAATTATTTTTTACGCGTAGAACGATGGGATCTCTGTCTTCGGTCACGAAAACACGATCAGTCTGGCCCCGAAGAAAGTCGTACAGAGTGGATTAGATTCTCGATACGTCGTATCGACAGTTGACCGATAAAAATGCACTCGACGCACGAATGGACACCGTGGGCGATAAGCTCGTTACGAATTTGAACACGACGATGATAAACGATTTCGTGGATAAGGATAAAAATAAACGTCGCACGAGCCTGGAGCTCGGAAGATCGGTGCTCGCCCAGAAACCGATACAGGCTTGTCCACATCCCGATCATGTGATCGCAGCAAGATCCCGCGTTAATCTTCGCCGATGAGTAATTTTTACGATTCGAACGTGGCACGTGTAATTGCTAGATAATGAGAGCGGAGTTGATTTAGAAGTACGTGCTCCGCGAGAGAGGCTAATCCTTCCAAGTACGGGATTAGAGCTCGAATGATAGCACGTGTTCTAGAGGTTGAGTCTCCCTATGGAATACGATTAGGGTATTTCCGACGAGCGGAGTTGTTGACAACCTTATCGTTTCGTGTAATTTAAGAAGCTTGGTTTTTCCTGTTTGCCAAATATCTCGTACGCCAAGACCAGACGTGTCTTCGACGAGACACAGTTTTCCTTTGTATCAGATCCAGGAAGAACACGCTTTGTACTCTGACGTGTACGATATAAGACGCATTAATAAACCGTACTTTAGATCGATCGTGGTTGGAAACAAAGTACGTCGGCGAGATGCGAAATGTTATCTCGCCTGCCAGGGGATTTATTTTTTCAACGACACCGACTACGTGTCACCGCGCATAATTTTCCATGTACGACGAATGATCGAGGAAGAATCGTTCAACGATTTAACTAAGAGGTATCGAAACGATGATTTACGAGGACTCGCTGAGTTTCTGTCGTTCTCCTCGATCGTACGACCCTCGATACTTATTTCATAGCATCGCGATGTGTTCGAGTACAATGAACAATTGTTCCGTCTGAACGAGAGGAACAGAGGTAACCACGCAGGTCACGTTTTCGCGATCTTATTTACAAACATTCTCGATATCGATATTTTACCGCGTGAGCACACAGCGCTAAGCCTCGTCGTTGGCTTAAGCGATCAAACTTGGGAAAGATAATCCTCCTTTGGCTCCCACCGATCGATTATCCCATAATTGCGCCATAATGACAGTCTGTAACGCTTATCGGGCCACTAGTACGCACGAAGCATCGATAACGACGCATCGATAGGTAGGCAAAGAGGAAGCGACGCGGTTGTTATCAAAATCTCGAGTATTTGAAAGAAATACCACGTTCCCACCAGCCGACCGCTTTTCCAGGATTCGGTGATCACCGCGAATGACGCGAACTTCCCCTTATCGCGAGATCCCGTGACGTCGAGCTTATCGTATAAATTATCCACCGGAGGAGGCCAGTTCGTCAGTTCAGCTTTCCTCTTCGCACGGTCGTGTGTGAGGTAGAGAAACTTACCACGAGAAGTTCTACTCGGTACACTTCGATCCGTCGACGACATAGAACTGCACGGTTCTATTCCGACTATCTAGTCTACGATATACATATCGATCACCAAAGAAAGCAAAGGTGAGCATTTTCGCTGGATCGTTATTTCCATATTTCTTTGTCCCTTTGCACCGAGATTCTCGTTCCGTCTCTTTGCTGCGTGGTATACATATATCACGGGAAATTGGATTAACGCTATTCGCGAGTTGCTCCATTCGCGAGATGCTCTGTTCGTGCTCTAATTTTGTCTTGGCGATCTCTAATTCGATTTGTCGTATCTATTCGTTATAAACTTCCTCAATCTCTCCAGCTACAGTTCAACTGCTGATCTTTCGACGTTTGATTAGCTCTTCCTCGACAGTTGAGACTCTTCTTTGGACACGTGTTTTATTTTCAATTAATGGTTTGTTCGATTATTTTTGCAGATGCTGATCGGTGGAGCTGTAAGCTACGTTGCTGGCAAACAAGCAATTCGCACAGTTTACTGGCGAACGGCGAGTGACGGTCGTCTCTTGAAGACGGCGAAGACCTGCATGTTCCAAGGTCCTCCGAAACCGGCACCGTCCTCTACATCCGCTTCCTCGGCGTTCGAGGGTCAGTCTCACATGGACCCTATACCGAGAGATATCTTTAATTATCGAGCCTAGACTACAATCGACATGACACTGAACCAAAGAACCGGGGCCGGGGGGAAGAGACGTGGCGTGACGAATGTATCCAAGACGATACTTCGACTTTGTACATAGTTCTTAGAAAATTAAGTTAACATTTGTATACGCTGATCATTTATATAAGTTTGCAAAATATATTTATTTTTTATCGTAAATGTACTTATTTTCTACCGTCGAGTCCATAAACTCAACGCTCTAACGAATCTTTGGCTGGCTTATCGATATTTACGCTTTTTTCTTTCCTCTCTTGATAGCGTAATCGAGCACAGCTTCATTAGCAATGGAATCTCAGAGTCAATGAGTGTATCGTCGCAATAATGACGCGCGCGATTATTGGCGTGTCTAGGTGAAGCTAGCTCCCTTCGTGAATTTTCATACTTGAACTTTGAAATAAGGCCAGGCCGGTTTGCGTCACCGGTTCATCTTAGAGAATAGGAGCCTTTTATTTCAAACACTAGAGATGATAACGATTAATCGTTCCAACGACTCCCGCTTCCGTTCTTGCTCTTTTTGCCGCGATCCAGCGTCAATCGTTCTCGCTGCCCGATAAGCTTTCAGTGATATTCCCATCACCCGTTCGCAATGCCAATCCGATCCACGGCAACTTTTCCCAGCACGCTTCTTCGCCGATCTGCCACCACGAAAGTCCCCATTCGTCGATCAATGGATCCGTGGAATTGCGTCGCGATCTTCATCCAATTTCTCTGCGAAAAAATACGAAATTCTTTAACACCCATCCTGGCATCGCGACTTCGGTCTTAATTCGAAAAAGAAATATACAACTTTTCCCAGCACGGTTCTTCGCCGATCTTCCATCACGGAAGTTCCCATCCGTCGATCGGTAGATCCGTGGAATTGCGTTGCAAACTCGATCCAATTTCTCTGCGAAGAAATACGAAATTTTTTAACATCCATCACTGCATCGCGACTTCGGTCTTATCGCGAAAAAGAATTTTACAATCACGCACACGCATCGTGCTTCCAGCAACGTAGGGGAGGATAGTACATAGAGAGACACGGTACACAGTGGTGGATAGTGTACGAAGGCTATATTTCATTTGTCCCTCGACTTGCAGCAGCACCAGACGATGTCGCAAACTTTCCTTCGAATTTGCACGTAGTGCCATACTCTCGACGCCAGAGAAAATTGGCTGTCTCGTGTTCTCGTTAGTTCAAAGTTACGTTGCTCAGGCAAAGCGTAATTTCGTTTCCTATTCACGAGACTGGAGTAGATTCGAAGTTCGCGGATGAAGAATCGCGATCGATTAATCACCCGGCTGACTGCGAATTCGCGCCAGTTCGGTTTAAGAAATCCGCACGCGATAAATGTCAGCTGTGCAGTTTTGAATGCGATCGGAACGGTCCACGCTGGTCTCGCTGCGTTCCTTGTTATCCACGATTCGACCATATCAAACGCGTCATCCTCCAACGTGGTGCAGCTCGAGCGGAAAATGTAAACTATGGGAGGGAATGACTCTTTCCTCCGCAGCGAATGGACGCTGGGCTCTATCGAACGGAAAGTGGAAATTTACTTGGAATATCTCGACTTCCTCTGACTTCTCGCTGCTGCGTCGCAGCGAGGTTCGTCGATCGCGCGATGTAGATCGGATTGGCGAAGATTGGCAGGACAGGGAACGAAGGGATTAGGAATGGCACGGTAACGCAGAGACAGGTCGCATTGACGAACCTTCAACCCCCAGCGTCGCGCACATGATAAGCATAATCGAACGAAACGCCCCGCCTCGCCGAGATAAAAGAAGGAACGTAAGTTGCGGGTCAAGGTCTTCGACATTCAGAGCACAGTCGCTAGCACGAGCAGGGTTTCCCTAAACATTCGTCTGGAAGGCTACTCTGCTCGCCAGGCGAAACTTGTTCACGCTTGATAGCCGGCTGATAACCTCGAGCCAACTTCCGAGAGAAAAAAGGTCTGCATCTTTTTCTCTTGTTTGGTGTTACGTTCGATCAATGAACAGGTCAATCGGTATGCGATGAGAGAAGAAGGGAGAATATGCGCGATATACGCGATCAACCGAGTCACCAGTGATTGCGGACTGTGACGCTCGAGAGTCGGATATCCGGCATTGGATAGGGGCGAGAATCGCGGAAGAGGGTTGGTAAACGTGGAAGAGGGTGTCGGGATTGGATCAGAAACTGGCGCGGATTTTAGCGAGGGGTTGAAGTCGTCGAACAAACTTCTTGTCCTTTTAATTTTAACGAATGAATGAATAGAATAGAATGAATAGAACGCGAGAACGATGGAGTTTATGGGAAGCGAATGGGGAATGTTGGGCCAGCGCGAAGTATTCGTTGAGAATATAAGAAGCATGAAAGAAGAGAACGAGGACTGAGTGTTTCGAGGTCTTCTAGGAATGGTTGCGCGAAGCGAAAATAGAGCTAGAGAGAATCGGTGGAGAACAAAGTTGAGAAATGTCGATAATAGGGAAAGAATTTTATGTCGACAAAAATTCTCGCGGGACAAAAGAAGATTCGGTTTCGTTTTTACTTAGAATGACGTGCTTCTTTTATGTCACAGAAAATCGAGCGTCGAGACGAAGTCATCCTCGTGTTACGCAATGGTGATCAATGTCGTACAAAGACAAAAATGAAGAAAATTATCCCCGTTGATATGACTCAGCGTTTGACTGATATTTTGTTGTTTCTTAGACTATCGGAACGTTTACTTCTACTATTGCACGATAATTTCGATACTCTGTATAGAAAGTACCGATGTTTTGGAATAATGTATCGTTACTCGAAATACGAAGTAAAGAGTGCATCGATGTTCTGCATAGTAACGAAAGCAATTGAAAATGTAATTCATGGAGGTGCATTGTGTATCCACGTATATACAAGGAAGCCATATCGAACATCTTTTGCAACCTTATCAATAAAGAATTCTTATAAACACGATGGTAGCAAATATTCGAAGTGTCTCCTTCACTTCTGACTTTGTAATTGAATTTATCTCCATCTATTTTCTTACATCGTTTCATTTAGAAAACTAAAGGCTACCTGTGCTTTTCGAAAAATGTTATACACGTGACAAGTGCGCGTACACTGTCACGTTGATCATGGAATACCCTAAAACTTGTTCCTTTTCTATTACGAAAAAGCTCGGGTAGCAACAACGTAAGCACCCTGTACATCTGAATGTTACTCGCTAGAAACTTTATTAGAAGAAAGAGGAAGAGGTGGGAGTGAAATTAGCTGCCCTCGACATTCTTAAAATATTCCAGCAACTCCCCAACCACCCCGGTTCTTTAAAAATCCATATGTTCCCTCTGCCCATCTCCCATTAGTCGCGAAAAGCTTCGGCGATTTTCTAAGAAGGAGAAATTTGTAAAATGAAAAATGTCTAATGACCGAATTGGAAATAACGTGGAAAGGCGATGACGAGAGGAGAAGAGAACTCGCACGGTATAGGATCGTGCACCCATTGCTAGCGGCGTGTCACTGGTCGAGTCGGTAGGGTGCGCAAGAGGATACAAGTTGCGCGGGCGCACTGTCAGGACTATCGATTTCGCGAGCATAAAGTGCCACACGGTTAGCCATCGATTCGACGCTCGTCTAAAAGGATTGTAGCTGGTGATCCCCGAAAGACGACAGACACTCGACGGAGGTATCTCTGACTCCAGGAACATCGTAGACAGTCGAAGGTGGGGCCGATTCCACGAATCGGTCGGACGCAGTTTCCCAACCCTGGACATCGTGGTCGACATCGATTTCTACGCTCGACTCGGTCCAAGTGTCCGAGAGGAAGAAGAACGGAGGGTCTGAAGAAAGCCAGAGAAAGCTGTCTTTGGCCCCAGTCATGCAGAACTATGGACACGAAGATTACGATTATGGGGTTGCCGAGTCGCAACAGGGGACCGGTAGGGCGCTGCCACAGGTACCAGGTGCTAGACCCATGGTGGATCCCCATGCTCAAGGAGAGGTCGATCCGAACTTGTATCCTCAACCGAAAGAGGCAACGCACAAGATTCGTGGCAAGAGCGACGTGATCGAGTACCTTTTCGGGTCTGTGGACCAGGAGTTGCTCACGGTGAAGACTTTCTATTTCTTCTTCTACATCAGACCTCTCATCGAGTTCCTCAGCGCGCCTTTCTGGGGTTCGTTAGCTGACAGGTGAGACAGGCCAAATCTACTTCGATCCTACTAGCCCAGATATTAATAAACGCGTCGAATGTGATCCAGTGACGAATTCTGTGTCGAGGAAAAATCTCACGTCGAGTTTCCCCTGTGTTTCTGTGCGTCTCCTCTCCTCTGGTTCATATTACGATGATTCCATATGTAAACAGTTTTATTATCTTGGTCAATGTTAGCGGATATTATTCAGAATCCAATATTGCATGGGTTAACAAGCCGAGAGAGAAAGCTCCAACCCCTTATCGATTTATCCGGTTCGAGGGCAGAGAGGAAAGCGATCTAGCCACTGCAAGCCGCTCGGTCCAAAATATACCTGGAAAATGCAAGGGTTGCTTTCTTTTTCAGATGGCAGAAGGGAAAGATGATCTTCATAGCCTCCCTCTCTTGTTGGATCATCTTCACCCTGCCACTAGCTTTCATGCAACCACCAGCCACGTCGTGCATGGTTGTACGAAACAGCACGGTGTACCTGGAAGCGCCCAACCCGAAAACGAGAATAGTCAAGCGGTCCACCAGTCTCGAGGATTTTTATCACCAGAACGACGAGGAGTGTTTAGAGATTGCCGACAACGTCGTTTTCGAGAGACTACGCAAAGACAGCAAGCTGGATCCACTGATTGCTCCCAGGTTGCACAGGAACAAGGGCCCGCCGGTGAAAAACGTCCAGAAAAATTACAGCCTCGATAACAACAGGGTTCGTAGGAACACCGAAGAAGTAGCGACAACGACCGAAGAGAGTCCGGTAGAGGATCTCAAGTACAAGCAGTTGGTATTCGAGGAGAACAACCCTGAAGCCAAGACCATCGATTTTGAGACTCTACAAAGGAAAAACCGTCCAGCCGATGTGCTCGAGTACAAGCGTTTCCTCAACGTAAGTTCTCTTCTTTCTTTCGTTCAGCTCCCATCGAAGAATCTCGATTGTATCCGTTTCAGAATCAACCCCTGGACGACGAAAAGCCGCCGAAAAAGGCGTACACGAATACTAAAACCAGGGTGAAATCACCGCCGACCAAAGTCATGGTGAAACGAGACATCGACGACGAAGCCAACGATGAAAATAAGTCTGAATTCAAACCTCAACAGCAGTGGTCTACGATGAGAAGTCTACGAAAGGTGTCTTTATTGCACGACGAAAAGGACGATGAGCTACATCGACACGCCGAGGTCGAGCAGCACGTCGAGGTGCCGGTGGTTAGGACCAAACGCTATGTCAGAATACATCACTCTGGTCAGAGTCCTCACACCGTTGTCTACGCTGTGAACTACGACGAACGAGAAAATAAAGGATGGGTGAAACCCCTCTTCAGCTCTATTGTCTACAGATTACCGGTACAAATCCTTCTCATACCTAGAACGAGATCCATTCGAGTTTCACGACTTCCTTGACTTCCACTTCTGTTTCAGGATATCCAAAAAACCTTCTTCCTTCTGTTACTCTTGGTGGTAGTCGGAGAATTCTTCTCGGCGCCTGCGATCACTCTAGCTGATTCCGCAGTCATCACTTTACTAGGAGAGGACGCGGATAGGTAAAGCTTCCTGCTGTCGACGAGCTTACAGCCGTAACTTTGCGTCTCGAATTTCCTCTTCGACACAGGTACGGTCACCAGCGAATGTTCGGTAGCTTAGGCTGGGGTCTGGCCATGTTCTTCGTCGGCATTGCCCTGGACCACAGCACCGCGTTCTCCGAACACCCTTGCGGCCCAGACATCAGGGAGAAGAACTACACGATCTGCTTCGCGATCTTCAGCGTTCTCATGGGCGCCGCCCTGATCACTGCCACGCAGATCAACTTCAAATACGACTTCCCGGTCGCGGAACCGGTGAGTGATCGCGTCCAACCGATAACACGAGGCGAATGCTGACCGAAGTAATCCGTCTCGTTGCTCAGGAAATAGAGAAACCCCCTGCCGAACCGACGAGAGAGGAACAGCTGCAAAGCCAGCTGTCTCAACAGCTGAATTTGCCCAGTCTCCAGGACTCGTCGGCCGCGGTGAATCCGAAGCCACAACCTCCGGAAGGCAAGGTACCGAGAAATCGACATGTCTTTCAGCTCATAACGCAAACTCGTCGAATTTGTTTCGTGGTAAACGAGCTTGGTATCGTTCCAGACAAAAATGTTCGCTCAAACGATAAGGGAGATCCCCGAATGGGTGACCGTGCTGAAGCAATTCCAAGACCTCAAATGCGCATCCTTCCTCTTCGTAGCGTGGTTCATGGGTTTCGGTATCGGTCTGATATTCACCTTCCTGTTCTGGCATCTTCAGGACTATGGTGGCACGCCGACCCTCTTTGGCGTTGCTTCCGTGATCAACCATATTTCCGAGATATTCGCTTACTTCTTCAGCTTTAAACTGATCCGTCAGATCGGCCACGTGAAGGTAGTCCTTGTTCCTGGTTTAACAGCACAACTGAAAAGGTTTAGGAAAAGTTAGTCGTTGTTATCAACGATGTTGACAGTAATTGTAATTGCGCGCGTGACTTTTAAACCGCTGTATATTCGAAGAATTTACCTCTGGAACGCGTATACGCGGTTTCAGGTACTGTGCATGGGACTGGGCGGGAACGTTCTCCGTTTCCTTTATATATCTTGGCTGAAATCGCCGTGGTGGGTGTTGCCATTCGAATTCATCCAGGGAATAACCCACGCAGCTGTTTGGGCCGCGTGTTGCAGCTACATCTCTCACAACACGCCTCCTCAGCTGCGCACCAGCGCGCAGGGTGTTCTCCAAGGTATCCATCATGGTCTTGGCAGGGGATGCGGAGCTGTGATCGGTGGCATGTTCGTTGACGCATACGGTGAGTTCTTGCATCACGTGACTTATCCGGATATTGATTCTACTTAAAATATTCAACATCGAGCTATTGTTAGCGATGGTTAGAGATGGTTAGAGATGGTTAGAGATGGTTAGAGGTGGTCAAGTTCACCGAATTATCTCTGTCTGATCGAGAGTCGTGACCCATGCTTCTCAGGAACAACCGCGACATTCCGAGCCTACGGACTGATCTGCATCCTCGTCCTGGCCGCGTTCGTGTTCATCAATTTCTACAGGAAGGACACAGGCTTCGTCTCCGAGCTGCCGCAGACGGAAGATCCGCATCAAGTGGCGGAAGCGACCCACTTGGCACCGCACGGTGTGCCGAGCAACGCCATTCCTCGTGCCCTCAGCTCGACCCGGCTGCACGAGCTGGCTAATCAGGACTCGAGCTACGGCGCCACTTACCAAACTTCGGGCGGAAACCTTGGCGTGCCAGGTGCAAATGGAGGTGAATTCTCTGTTTCTTTGTTCAGCATAGATAACGAGTGATTCGCGTACCTACGAGTTCGATGGGACACGTTTTCAGGCCCAGTGAACCCGACGAATCCATTTCTGAACAGTGGAGGCGGCGGTGGAGGTGGATATAATTACGGTATGACTGGCAATGGCGAGGACGAGTATATCCGTAGGAGCTTCCAGGTTTAGTAAAATCATTCTAATTAGAACGTCCAGAAGGAAGACGTTTGTTGGAAAAAAAGAGGAGAGAAAACTTCTACGCAAGGCTATACTCTCTGAACGAAAACACGTTTTTCTTTATTTCTTTTCGTGCCTCTATTTTCGCATACCCCCCAGCACCGTGTCGCGCGAACGGATCGCCCTAATCTCCCGTTTCTCTGTTATTCCCGCAGCTCTACAATGAGGTGATCAACAGAGAATTCGATCTGATTAAGCCACCGCCGATAGTGACCCATCTACACGCTCAACAACCATGCACCAACCCCTTCCATCAGCACGACTACGAATGGTAACAGTCCTGGACGTCCGGTCCCACTTAAGGTGATCAGGATGCTCATGGAACGCTGGTCGATAACCGGCTCGTTCTCGGGAGAATCAAGAACGGAAGGCCAGCTTCGACGAGCTAGGCAAAAAGAATTTTTACACGGTTAGCAGAATCGACGGAAGCCTCGTGGTGCCCCCTTGGAGCAGTATCGTTCGTTAGATGCATATCGGAGCGCCTGGTAGCGTGAACGGAAACCGTAACCTCGATAAATCGATCGCGATGTTGGGAAAGGAATAGCAAATCGTAGGTAAAAGAGAAGGTAGAGAGATTCTTTCGGACACCGGAGATCGAATTATTAAGCTCGAAGAAGACTGTGCAGCATAAAATTGACCGTGAGACTGATCGCTAAAGCGACGATTCAAAAGTGCCTGCTCCTCGAGATATTGTTGTTTACGGGTAAAAATTAACGGAACCATCGGTTTCGTAACGATAACGTAGTCGGCGAATTGCGAAATCATTTTACGTGGAAACCGCGTAATCGGTGAGGATCGATCACGCTCGTCGGGGGCACCAAAGGGCAAGCTTCGACCAGATGGGATTGACGTCCGCGAAAAAGCACGAGACGAAGCTCCTACAGTGCGCAAGAGGTCGAGTTTTTCGAAAATTATGCGCGAATCGAAGGAAAGCCATCCGATAGGAATATTTTGTTAGGGTGTAACACGGAAGTCTCGTGACACGTGGTCGTTTCATGCGAAATCGATTTTTAACGATATTTTGGCACGCTCGGGATGCGAGCGAGGATACTAAAGCGTAACACGCAGACTATCCCGTGTGTTTACACGCATGAAACCACGATGTACAGCAAACAGACGGTGTCTTTTGTGATTTAAATCTGTCTACGTAATATACATACCTGACACGTGTAGCACGGCACAACACGATCTGCGGGGTCGCTTCAACGAAAACTATACTATTCAAGGACTTGTATTCCACGGTAAAGTTCGAGTTACGTTTCTTTCATCGGTTGCCAATTTACGAATCGACGTGGAACGGATCTTTTCCAAACTCGTACCCGTCTAGTCGCGGGGTCGGGACTTGACTTGCACGATCTGTAGGGATCGGTCGAGGGTAGCCACAGCTATTTAGGGTGCTCGATGAAACTCGAATCATACCGTGTCTTCGAATGCAGGCAGTTCGATGTAACTATTACGTGTATCTTGACGTGCAAATCGCGTTACTCTGCTTCTCTCGTTACGTTGCGATTCTGGCCAATGTCGCGTATCTCGCATTCTCCAACGAAAATCGCCACGGGAATCGCTAGAGATCATTGTAAATACTGTACTTCTGTCTCTCCCGTGTGGGTATTACGGGAAGCTCCATGGATTCTTTTCTCTTTCAACCGTTACTTTACGTTTTTAGGCTGAAACGTTGCTCGTTGCGTGTTGTATCTGTAAAACGTTCACACGTATTGTAATTACCATAGTCTATCGAGTAGCTGATCAGGTACCGTTTTATTATGTAAGCAAGAACACGTTTTTCCGTGATAGGTGTACGATATTGTTGATAATGGGAAATGATTAAACGAGTCCGTGATAAAGACACAAGCGTGGGTCGGTCTTTATTGCCGGAAGCTCGTACTGTGCAGAGCCCAGGAGTTTGCACCCAGGATGCACAGGGCAAGAGGTGTAACTGTATCGTCTACTCTCACCTTCCACGCATTCGAGAACGACGGAGCAATCGTACGATTTTCGCGTTCATGCAGGGGGCACAATACTTGTACTTGACGGTCAGCCAGGCGAGGGAATCCTACTGTACTAAATACACTGTATTAATATTTTCGTTTACCTTCCATAAAATGGAACATATTTACAGAATGTGAGATATAAATATGGAAAAAGAAAAAAAAATAAATAGAAGAAATTACCCGATATCGATACTCTGACTATGATTCATCCGTCAGTGAGATTACCAGTTTGTAAAATCAGCAAGACCAAGAGGTAGAATTACGAATACCCGTTTACGCTAAACTCACGTATAATTAGCGTGATCGTGGTGGGAACGAGTACTAAATATAACTTCGATCCGAGTGTAATTTTAATAAGAAAACGCTGTTAGCTGAAACGAACCTTTCAGTGGTATTTAAATATAGTTACGTTAGAAAAGTTTTACATAGTTACGAATAATAATTTATCGTAAAGTTGCGAATGTATTATGTTAACGACGCCTGCATCTGTTAATAATTAAACAGACTGACCCGCATTTCTTCCGAATGCAAACTCCAGAGCTCCGCACAGTAACCATCGATATTTCGCGTTTGCCCGAATCGACATCGAAGACTACTTTTCTATCCTGCGACTCGCTTTCCTTTTCCTTTGCCTTTTTTCCTCTTCCTTTTTAACACTCTCGCCTTAAAAAAACGTATTTCATTCGGTCCTAGTCAAAAGTGAAAGTTCCATTCGGTCGAAAGTACGGTTCGAGAGCACTCGAATGGAAGGTTTCTCGAAGGTTTTCCACTCGACGGAGTGGCGGTTCGATTTGGTTCGGGTAAGTGTGTGCGACTAGCCTAAATTAAGCGAAATCTCGTTTGCCGAGGCACAAAGCTAGATGTAACGTTGTACCTACATACCTTAAATGAAAACTAAACGAGTAAGGCATAGCGTTGTATGCATCCAAGTGCTTTTTAGCTCGATATTGTTACATAATCGGTATCGGTTACATAATTAATAAGCGTGTGCGCGTCAGAATGAACACGTGTCACCGGGGTGTTCCGTTTGTTCCCCTGGTTGAACACCAGTTTTCGAGGACACCTTCCACCGAAATCGAGTAGACACTTAGGATATAATCGTAATCGACGTGTAGTAGCTAGTGTTACAAACGCAGTTTCCGTTAGAATGCGCGATGGAAATACAAAATAACGTGGATTCAGCCTCAGCTGCGCGTCTTGCGACGAGCATGCACGCGCGTGATAACACGGCTGTCATCGCCTATCGATCAATCGACGAAACGCAAACGTAGAGGAACGACCATAGGCACGATCGGATCTGAGATGCTTGCAATCGGTTTGCCGGTTCCCGATGCATCGTTTCTTCTTTCACGATTCAACGTGATTCGTTTAAACGGCGCTCGCTTTGTCGGATATTGCGCAAGAACAAAGTTTCGGTTGCTCGTGGTTATTTTCATCGCTTCTGGAGCTCCATTTATCGTTTGCTTTCGTAGATCTACAAAAATCGTCGTCAAGCCTGTTAGATTTGTTACACGACATCCGGTGAAAGGCGTGCTCGAAATAAATGCAGATATCGCTGATTTCTTTCGCGTTCTTCGACAAACTAGCTCGCTAATCGCGCGATTCCTTAACGAATAACGCAGCAACTCGGTATCAAGGGGACTCAAACATCCGACTCTAGTCTTCCTGTCACGTGCACCCGTTCCGAGGTCGCAACTCTCCGTCACTGATATTCCAAACGGATGACAAAGAATATCGGGAGAGCGAGAAACGTGCGAGACATGGTTACATCGTGCGAGCTAAGATTAAGCCAACGTCGGGCGATCGAGGGCAACCAGTCGAATTCTAATTTTAATTCCAACCTTTATGAATATTTCGCGTTCTTTCCCTCCGTTTTCTTCTTTCTCGGCCACTCTGCTCGAGCATACTTTTCACCCGCGCCAACCTGTGTCGTAACAGCCATCGTAACCAATCTGGAGAAACGTAGGAAAAGTGCATGACGAGGAACATTTTGCGAACTCGATACATATCACATAGCGATTAAGTTGAAAAGGAAATCGATGTAACATTGGAAGAACAGCCGCTTCGCACGTGGTCGCTTCGTCTCGCTTGATATCGTCGCTATAAAATGACCGATTACGCTCTTCGTTCCTGAGTTTTCGTGGTAAAAGAGAACGATATTTCTCGATAGAGAGATACCATGGGACCGTGATCGAGCCCGCGATGATTATTTCGATCTTTCTATCCTATAATTTCTTTTCTTCTCTTCTCTTCTTTCCTTTTCAAAGCAAATTTTCGCGTCCGACAAGACTGAAGTAACATAGAATTCGATTCATTCGTTCGAGCTGTTTATCGACGAGCTGAAGAGTTCAATGAATTTGTAAGAAGAAAGGCCTGTCGAGGGATTCATGTGCGAAGCGCCATAAACGATAGCTATACGATAGGTATAGCAACATTAATAGACTATTAACAGAGGAAGAATATAATATACAGTAACGATGTAATTAATATACAGTTTCAAAAAAAAAAAAACAAAAAAAAAAGCAAAAAAAACAGTGAACTCTTTTTCACCCTATCCATACAGTTTAACAAATTCGTACCATGCATATACAGCTATTTACAATGCTTCATTCGTATTTGGACAATTATGTTCTCAATTTACATAAACGACAGGCTAGATTCAAACGCTCAAAGCCATAAGCAACGATCATGCATTTCCAAAAAAAAAAAGAAAAAAAAAGAAGAAAAAAGTAAATTGATTAATAAAAATAAAAATAAATGAAGGAGAAGGTTTATGCTTTGTAAATTACGAACACTCGTTGTATTTTTCTATCCGATAGGTATACAATTATACGTTTGTTAATCATTTATTTAAATCGCCTACAGAAGTGACGCAATGTCGAATGAAATTTCGAGGTATACACGATATGACGCATAGACTTGACGTAATAATTAAACATTCTCTTCTTTTCTTTCTTTTTCTCTTTTTTCTTTTTTGTTCCTCTTTTATTCCAGATACAATAAAAATGAGAGAAGGGTGATCGCAAGATAACCGCCAACATTTGGTAAATAAAGGTTTATTCGATATTCTTTTGCCTATATCGATGTTACTTATTCTGGACAAAGTTACAACTAGAGGCACTAGTCAAGCTTAAATTCTAGCTGTCTACGATTCGTATTTTGATCGATGTTCTAGGACTATGTTTCCCCCAAGTATGGTTCGGAGAAGAATTGAAAATCGTGTCAAAGATTGACTAGCTAGAACTAATAAATTAACAGCTATTATGTTCACTCGAAAATTTGATCACTGACGACCACTACTGGTGGTGTTTCTATCGGTACCGGTCGGTGTGTGATATAATATATATTTATACTGCACGTGTATAAAGTGTATACGCGATACGATTCGCAAAGTACGAGAGAGAAATGTACAGAAGAGTTGAGAAAAACTTATACGCGTCCCCTTATTCTCTACATAATAAAAATACTATTCTAAGAATGTAAAATACGGAGTTTGTCGTAAAATGTACTACTGATTTCGTGTGTTGTCAAAAAACGATAAACACGTGGTCTCTGGCGTCGCCTGCACCACGCATTTTCCGGTAATCTATTTCATTTAGACTGTTCGCTATAATACTATTCGTATGAATACCTTCGTTACCGTACTCTCGATGTGCCGCGTAAAAATAATTCCGTAACACGGAGAACAACATAATCGACCCAGATCAAGAGAGTATTCTTCGATGGGTGAAATGTCGTTTGATTGCTTATTATGCACGAAAAGTCTGTATATACTATATATAACTTGAATGCGTGTTCGTGAAGATTGAATTTACGTGTAATATATGCAAAAGGCAAGAAGCAAGCGGCAAATGGCGATTATTTGTAAAACTCGCTCGTTTAATACTTGAAGGGTTAAATCGAATAAATCGTCAATGGCACTGGAGGTTAACGCAAACAATTATACTATCTCATCCAGATATACATGAAAGAGAGTTAGAGAAAATAAGCGAACATCGGTTAAATTAGCTTATCATTGGCATTATCAACATTTGGTTTCGAATTCTTCTTGGCACAAACGTGTACACTCTCTTTGAACCGTTGCGTAAAAAAAAAAGGAGAAAATGAAACGAAAAAAAAAAAAAAAGAAAAAAACGAAGATAGCAACGACTGCTTTCAACGCTAGTACGTAATACTTGAAATAAAATTAATTTGTACATTTGTCGAGTTTCTCACGCAAAACTGGACCGACACCGGGCAGTGTGTCATTACGGCAGAATCGCATTAAGTGTATAATACTGGCACAGTGAGGCAATGATCTTAGGATTCTCTAAACTATTAATAGTATAATCAAGTACTACACTCACCTATTGACTCATATAATTCATCCATACTTTCACGCTGATTATCCTTAAATACACATTTCCTCTGTCATTTGTTCCCTATGAAAACCAATGGTAACAACATCGAACTGTCGAGGGCCGATTCTTTGTCGACGATTACTGGAAGAAAATAACGCAATGCAACGCCATTTCGAAAAATAGAAAAGAAAATGAAAAAGACAAAAAAAAAAAAAAAGGAAAAAGAAAATAGAGCGATATCGAAAGAAAATCGTCACGCCGACAAGGAATCGATTCCTTTCTTGTTTCGTTGAACTTCGCAACAAAGTATTCAATTTGCATAACGATCCTATACTCGGTCACAGCCTTTAGGGATGTAACTTGATGCATGTTATATCACTGTTATTTCTAAAGCCTATGAAATACTGCAGGCACGAATAAAATCCCGAGATGTCTTTCAATTTCAAATTTTTCCTCCTGTACGAGTAATTTTGGATAACTACCAAGGTATTTATTTCTTTCGTCATTAAATACCCGCTACAAGAATTTCCAATCACGAGACTGATCTTTAGATATGTGTTAAATCGTAAAAACTTATCGAATTCATTCGTTAATATATAACTATATTATGCTTGATTTGTGTTGCGAAACGAAACTCGTTACTTTTTACTTCGTCTAACCAGTCTATCAAAATTGTCGAAATTGACATCACACTAACGATTAAGATTAAAATTCGAAGTATCGAAAGTCACGATAATCCTATATCTAAACTGAGCAACTATCGAATCGTAAAACCTTCGACGGCTCGAAGACAAGATAGCCACCAAGGGCTATGTGTTTCTTTACACTTTGAACACGATGTATACGACAAGATCGTACCACGCAAAGTCCCCAGACATGCGTGAGAACCTATGACTTATGCTTTACTGATGCCGCATTCTGCCATATCATAACACGCTGAACGAGCGATCTAGTTTGCAGTAGGAACTACATAATCTGACACCTGAAAAGCTGTATCATCTGCCGAGATCATATCGTTATCCTGATTTAGTCAGATATCGACCTCAAACATATCTTGTTCGATTGGTTTTTTAACCCAACTCCCAAGATGTGCCTTTACGAAAGCTTCCTTCAACTGATGCTTGGCAAGCTGTTGCGGAGAAAATTTAAACGAAATAATCATGAACACAACTCGTAATGAACGTAACGAGAGTATTCTGACTTACCGAGTAATTCTGTACGGAAGATTTAGCCTCCAAGTAATGACGGCACTGATTTTTATCAGCGTCGTCTATAGTGTCAAGTTTATCTAATAAATTGTAAAATCTTCTGAATAGTCCCTGTTTGGATATCCTAGAGGGTTTTCCTAATTCGTCTTTCCCAGTAGTGCAGTTTATTACTTCAGCCTCTGGTTGACCTGTAGAATAAATCAAATTAAAATGAAGTTTCTGATACGTCCCTTATTCTTCTACGTACCGATTGTCCAATTAACGCTGTAATTAGGTGCTTTTCCAGGTTGTCTAACTTCGGAAGATGTGATAAGACTCATTAGAGGCTTATTAAGTCTATACGGCGGCGGTAATCCCTGAATCGTGTTTTCAATACGTCCGCATACCGCTCTGTACATATGGCTTGGGTTCAATAGACTGCCAAGAACGATGCTGTGGAAGTAAATTGGCTCGATGAAGTGGCTTAGAAGTGCACCTTGCACACCAAGTACGTTCCACCGAGCTATTTTGTCCGAACACGACATCGTCAGCAGTCTTTGGCCCTATAAGTTAAAGTAAATATTTGCGTATCAAAGTGTGCACAAAAATAGGGAATATTTGTTTCGTGACAAGTTCGACATAAACTATATCATACCATAAGTACACCGTCCCAAGTTTGGATACCTTCGCTGCTTTTTACAGGAATGGTACCTTCTCCAGATTCTATTTTGGTTCGCAATTGGCCTCTTGCTCTTCGGTTTGGATGTTTGTCAACAGACTCGTTCTCTTCATGGGGCGAAAAAATTCTGGCATCACCGCAGGGAGCGGTGTTTATATATAAATGAAACTGAATGCCTTGTTTTAATTTGAATCCCTTTCTTGCTAGCTCTAAAATAGACTCCGTGGCACGGTCCTCTGTGTACAGTTCCAATTGCTTATACAAATACTCGCACAAACATCTCCTTGCCACCACTTCGGCATGACAGTCATTCAACGCACCACCACTGACGCTCAGATGCTCTCCCGAAACACATTTGGTACCTTTTATTTAAGATAAATATTAAAATATAAAAATTTATGCAATTTTAAATAACATACAATTTCAAATGTAATTTATACACAAAAAGGCAATCAGGAAAACTATTCCTCACCGGTTGTTACGCAAATTAGTTCTGCATCTGAACCTTTGGTTTGAACGATACCCGCTAAAACTTTACGTCGAGCGTGTTGCGGTTTCGATTGAATTAATTCGCTAAATTTCTGATTTACCATTTTTCCAATTTTATCGGCTAACATTTGGGGTAATGTCATCTGATCTTGCCAATGCCCGCTACTGGAAAAGGTTGGTAACACACGAACTGGAAGCGGTATGCAGAATGACGAACTATGAACGTTCCTTAATTTAGCTAGTGCTGCTTTACTAGCTGCAGCTTTCGCTAATTTTTTACTTGGTCCAGTTCCCTCAAACGTTTCTCCGTCTATTGTTACCGATATTGTAAATTTTGCGTAACTTTCTCCATTATCAGATACGCATTTGTACACTACACCAGGATATAGTTCGTTAATAAGTGCTACAGGCCCCTTCTCTAAAAATTTATTTGTGCTTTTTGGTTCTTGGGTTAAAGTTTTGAAAGCATTGACTAGATGATTATCACGTTCTGTGACGTCGCTTGTAAAATCTGGTTCAAGAGGAATAGAAGGTTGACAAGTGTTAATTGCTTGATGAACCTCTGGTGTATTTCTGAACTGAATGATATTTCTTAGAGCAAGCTCAGCAGCAGCATGTTTTGCCATTTTTTTGGTACGTCCTTTGCCTTCGTACGTTTGTCCATCTATTTGTACAGCTATTGTAAATATTGGCGCATGCGTTGGACCAGTTTGATCAACAACTTTGTATACTGCGCCGGTTTTTAATTCGTTCAGGGCACACACTGCATTCTTTGGCTGCGGATTCTTGTGGCGCTTCTTGGGATTACTTGCACCTGACAAAAATAATGAAAATAAATTAATTTGCTTGATATATTCTAGTAGGTTTCTGCTGAAAAGAACTTGAACCTGCAAGACTTATAAGGTGATCCGTGTTCTGCTTGTTTCTACCAAAAATCAACTTTAATATGCACATGCGTAACAACTAAGTGCCGCTCAATTGCATGATATAGGATCGTGCAAGCAGCCACTGACCTTCTGGTTCTGATTCGGCAGGTCTCTTCAAAATTGGTCTCGATATATTTGGCTGCTCCATCTGCGAAGAGGACAACAAGCCACTGCTATGGATTCGAAACAGGTTTCTGTCCCAAGAATAATCTTAGTTAACTGAAACTCACCCCTGTCAAGTGTCCCTCCTGCAATCCCTCCGTGGGAGATGCAGCAGTGACCACGGATGTGTTGCAGTCTGATGATTAGAATAAAAGATACAAATATGAATATCATGTACAAGATAGCTGAATAAAAGAAACGATATTTATATTTCATACTTGTTTCGTTAGTGTCCTTGTCATTATTCACTACTGTCAATCCGTTCGACATTTCTCGTTCAACAGATGCGTTGAAAAATACACCCAAATATTAGCGTAGCTAGAGAGGGTGGTAAAGGGGGTAAACGGCACTTTTTTGAGGGGGTAGCACTTTTCACATGAGGCACAATTCTATTTTGCTTTTGTTCATGTTAAGTTGATGACCTTTACTATTCGATTAATAGTTAGCTTTTAACAACTACACCTATAACCGTTGTTCAAGGCTTGTAATATTTTCACTGTATTGCAAGTGACAGCAAAAAGCAAAAGTTCTAGCTACGCCACTGCACCCAAAAAGCGTGCACTCGTCTCGAAACACTGCACCGTTACATTGATTTTAATTATGCTCGTATCGTGATATGTCCGCAGCGCCACTGCTGTTTTTTCCTAGACTCAACATAATCCAATTCATCGCGCGTCCACATGTATCGTAGAATGTTTTACGAAAACGATACACGCGACATTGCTTTACGTTCACGACACGACAGAGAGAAATGTTCGACCGTTGCGTATTTTAATCAATTCTGTTTACTGCGCAGAGTACTGCGCACGTAACAAGGAAACTCGCGCGGAGGAGTCGATTTGAAAGCAAGTCGAGACTCTTCTGTCAGAATCAGCGTAACGATGCACAAAAAGATTAAGGTGCAACGAAGACGAATATAAAGACACGCGAATATATATGTATACATAATATTTTGTTTTTATCTCCTTAACAATCTTTGAAACTAACCAAAAATAAAGCTGAATGATTATTACGGGCACGTGAAGAATCTGTTTCCCTTTTCTCATCTTTCCTGAAATTATATATATATATATATATAATTATATGCTTCGCATATGAGTTGAAAGAATTTTCATAGCAAGAATTTTCAATACACACACACACACACATATATATATATATATATATAATTTACACATGAAACCCCGTAAAAAATAATACGCATACGGGAAATGTTTTCTACTCAGAACACGAATCACTTTATTTATATTACGACAACACCATTATTATTCGTATGTATAAATAACAATAAAAATAACGAACATAATAAAAAAAGAAACACTGAAATATGCATAGCTCACCGTTTTTTTCCACTTTTATTATCAATGTTTGACTAATATCCGGCAAAATGAAATCTATTACGAAAGGAAATAATACGTAATTTGTCAACACAGAAATTTCTATGCAATTATTCGACCATTTTGACATTACTATGCTTTCTTCCTACGAACAAATACACTGTCATTAGTCAGAGATTAGTAAATATACAAAATTGTAAGGAAATTAGTTCACCTTACTATCCACAATTCGCGGCACAAAGTTCTCTATCGCGTTTATCTGTTTTCGACGTTTCCGTCTTACGTTTCTCGTTTGAATCGTTTTAATGTTCATTCCAGTAGATAACTGTGATTTATCGATGCACAATTTACATCTGTTTGCATCACTTGCCTCTAGAATGTCGATCGAAGTCTCAGTGTTGCAGCTCTTGTTATCCAAAATAATCGATCGACAAATTGCACATAAATTCTTCTCTGTCATCGACAATTTTTCTTTCTTGTTCTTGCTCGCTATAAATCTTACTTTTTTCCGAAAATTACGAACACTCTTATGACATGGATTGCAACATTTGAACGTCTCCATGATCGTTTATTTCACGACGAACGCGTATAGAAGTGTCGACGCATGAAAAACTCGTGTCGAATACTGACATGGGATATATGGAACTGCAAGGTAAGGTTCTGCACGAAGTATACATGCTATACAATGACTAACTGTTACTATACAAAGACGAAATACGCGAGATAACGGCCGGAAGTATCGTTCTTTAACTGCCGGGGTACTTCTATCTATCTGCAGGAGTGATATGATAAATCATAAATAACGCGTATCTTTCTTCTATCGTTCGATTAATTAACCATGGATTATTTCGAAATGTCTGTATCAGTTGGACAGTTTACTTTAGCTCCATCTAGCCGGGTGCAACAAAGTCGCAGTAAACCCATAAGGCGGCACAGGCTTTGAATATACATACATCTGCCATCACGCATAACCGGTGCCTCCTTTTTCATAATGATTCTTTGTTTTTCTGAGTAGACTACGCAGCGGTGCGATTTATTTTCCAATAACCTTGAGCGATTATATTATTTTTTTTCTTTTTAATTTACATTCGTGATAAAAAATATGAAACAATACGTGATATACGTGATCATATATAGTGTGGATCCACGGAATAACAAGGTTGTAAAGTCCATTGAATATCGAACCTCAACAGATGGAATGAAACGTTTCTTGTATATCGTATAGGTTAGGATCAATCGTCGATAATCGATACCTTGCAAAATGAAAGGAAATGCGATAGAATCTTAATGATAAATAAAACTCGTGACAGATAAAGATATTTTCTATGCGTCTGAAATATCTCGGTTGATCGAAGATTTATCTCGTCGAGAAAAAGTTTGCGAGCTTTTTGTTTGTCCTACGGAAGACAAATTGACTCCGCGGCAATTGGTATGCCGAAATATTCATGCGATTCCAAGTTTTTTTCTTAGAAAAACTTGCGCGTTTTCATTCAATCCTCCTTTCTTTTATTCTTATAGGAAAAAAGAAAGAAGAAAGGCGAAATTCTTTTAGTTTCTTTGACGCCGGAAGTTATTTAGCGTGACACGCGCCACTTCCGATACTTAATGTATCGCGATTTATCCGCGATACACTAGCATCTGACAGCCCATGATTAATGCATTGCTTCAGCATTTGTCAGACGGATTATAGCTGATCGATTCTCCTATACCTGATAGATTATCTCGACGAAGAGTGGACAAGTAAATTCGATAAGTCGAAGTTGTATCTATCTACTCTGCGCAGCATGACTAAGATACGTTTGTCATTGATTATCGAAATGCTTTGAATTCGACTTATTGATTAATCGCCAAACGTAACTACGAGTCACTTTGGTCTACATAAATCTGGACGTTTATGCGAGTGGCCGAATAACAACAGGCTGCCGGAGTTGATAAGCTTCCAGTCAAAGAATCCTGGTTGTGCCTTCGAGGTGGTTCTAAATCGTTCTTCGTGGATTTAGCTCGGAAGCTCGGAAAATAAATATGTTACGAAATTACTATATCCTTTTCGTTCTGACGATAATTCTTCTCTTGTCGGTAAGCGATTGTTCTTCGAGAAGCGAGCAACTGAGAGAAATTTCTTGAAGCTTTGGTGTTGGTTCTCCTTTTTCAGTATTCCGGAGACGCGGACATTAGGAGAGACTGTCGCAGGGAGTCGAAGGTTTCGTGGGGTACTTTAATCAGCATCCATAATTATAGACTGAAAGAGTTCAGTAATAAAATAGTAGCTTTCGTCGTTGTACCTTTTAGCCGCATTACGGAGGATGAAGTCGGGAGACCTAGAACAAGAAGACCAAAACTTGAAATGCTACTTGAAGTGTTTCATGATGAGGCATGGCATTCTGGACAAGAACGCGAAAGTAGACGTACAGAGAGCACTTCGACATCTACCGCGAAGCTTGCAGGACTCGTCAAAGAAATTGTTTAACAAGTGTAAATCTACCCGTAAGTTTTTCACGTTTTTCTCGATAGCGAGACAAGCTTCCCGATATCGCGATTGGTTACATCGAATTATCCGTTTCCTAGAAGGAAGCAATCCCTGCGACAGAGCTTACGAGATGGTAAAATGTTACGTCGAGCATCATCCGGAGGTAAACGCATTACGATTCGAATGAGCTTTCGTTCAGCGAAGACACACTCGCAATGCAATTCTCGTTACAGATTTTGCACAGCGTGCCTTTCCTCTAAAGCTACCGTTGGGGGGCGGCAATCTCAGGAAGACAGCCGAGTATTCGAGGAAAGAAGACGTTATACCGCTTGCGTGTAATCATTATGCAATGATGCATGGAAGAAAAAAATAGAGATGTATGCAGAATGTGAAGTTGATTGTAATTGGAGGCTTAGCAGCGAGGAAACCGTGGAGAAGCGATTGCCTTAATTACGCGCACGCGAATCCCGTTGAATCCCAGAGAAAGTTTCGTTCGGCGAGGTCTTCATCGACTTCTCGACTGCTGGCAAAGTCTATTCTCTGTACGCGCAACAAACCGGAAGGAAAATCATTCAGCGAGCGATCGAGCGAAACTTCCGACAGCGTTGCATTTTCATCGAGATACTGGTATCTTGCGGAAATTAACTTCCGTCAACCGTGCTATTTTTCTCGTGCTCGCGACTGTAATACTCGAACCTCGTTTACGTGTCGTTGTTCCTCGAGGATCGATCGTCGAGCAAGCAGATTAAGATCAGCATCGGAACCCGTCTTGTTCTCGATGCAAAAAGAAATCGCTGTCTGTAGGATTTACCGTAATCTAACCAACGCGACGACCAGATGTCGGAAAGAAACGCGGCTAGTTTCTTCGGGCTAGTAGTATGCACGTGCCTCGGAGCCGACTTCTGAAAACGTGGCTTAGGTCGCGTCTATATTCACCGTGGTGGAACTGGGTCACAGTTCTGCCCATCGGGGTATTAAAACAATCCCTAAGCTCTCGGCGCGGCCGGAAAAGGGTGCGGGGGCCACGGGGTGGCGTGGAACAGTGGGCGTGAGCCACGGGAAGGGGCAAATAACACACCGAGGGAGGCGAACAACACGCGTAGGAGAAAGAGCAAGGGTGACTCTAGTGGAGAAAAAAAAGGAGGTGGTGCCGGTGAGCGGGGGTATAAGTGGCAAAAGTACGGCGAAAAGCGACGAGGCTAAACAACGCCGAGAAAGCGAACGACGAACGATAATGATGCACCACTCGACGTATCCTCTTGTTTCCCTTCTATTCGGCTTTTCAGTGGGACGATTCGATTGTTCGCTATCGGGCAACGTTCCGTACGATCACGGGATACTTTAGTAGTAGCTCTCGCGTTAACCGTTCCTCGTTGAATTTGCCAATGGCGCCTGAGGGATCTCGAAGATTGTAAACGACTAAAAGGGAATATTCAATGGAGTGCGAATCGCGTTCGCTTCTCCTTTGATAATAGCTCCACCGGTCCGCGATGATTTATGGTTATACGAGTAAGGGAATTTCCCAACATCCTCCGTTACTATATACGCGTAGCGTACGTATTCGCGTGAGAGAATAGCCGGGAAAATTGAAAGTTTCGAAAGAACGCGATACTGCGGAAGAACGAACGACCAGACACTGCGAGGGTTGAAATAGGAGGGTAAGATTTTGGAAAGGTTCACCGTGTGAGGTACGCGGCATCGTGTCTGCTTTACAAAACACCGTTATTAAAGCAGAGGCAGGAGGACAGTCAGGTGGCGAGCTAACCCTGTGATCTAAGGGATCTAGCAGCTAATCCTCGGTCGCTGGATTAATCCGAGCTCACCGAATTTTCCGGCTCGTCGGTGCACGGTCGTCGAGAAAAGGAACGTTCCCGATTGGCTATTCCTCGCCATACCCCCATTCCGTTATCCTTTTATCTCGATGTTCGCGGCATAAACTCGAAAAAATGTCTTCTGCTCCTGGTAAGAAGTTCAAGCGACCAGCAAAACGTTCCGAGCTCGTGGTGCCCGAGTTTTCCGCCGTTGGTCGATGACGTTGCGTTCAAGTTCCGTTTATCTCTGTCACCGGCCGTGAGAGTGCAGAAACTTCCAGGCAACGTTCTCGTTTTGCATCTTTTTCACGGCCGTGAGAACGGACGCTGTCGTTGAACGCGATCGATCAAAGGATACGTCAACCGATCGTCCGAATAATTCTCCAGGTTCCGTGTAAGAGGTTCCCCGCGTGATTCTGTCGGTGGCAAACGTTGACGAGGATTTCGTCAGACATCGTGCTGATGCAAGTGGATCAATATTTACGAAATCGAGAGAAATAATCCCCGATTCTACAGGAATCGGCGATCCAATATTTGAAAGACCATGTATCGAAGTCTCAAGGGAGTTGCGAACTGCGAAACTCTGCAGCTGCTGAAGGTGTGGCGGCTGCTGCTGCCGCTGTTACTGCCTGTAGCCAGTGAAAATTATGATCGTTCCGGAAACTTTAAAAAACCTTCCAGTTTCGAATCGTGAACATTTGGCGTGAAAAATCGACTGTTCGGAACTGGAGATCTTAGTTCCTATCGCAGTTCGAAAAGAACGAAATCGAATCTATAATCTGTCGTTCGATAGAGCACCCTCGAGCCATTCTAGTTTCTTCGAATGGATTTTATCGATTGGCAAATCGTAATCGTTACGTAGAGATTTTCTGAAGAAAAAAACGAGAGAAAAATAGCGCTTGTCGCTTTAGTTATGATTCATAGTTGGTCGATAAGACAGGCTTACGTAGAACTACGTGTCCCGCAGACGGTCAAGAAATCCCCGGCAGCAATTAGCGAGGAAAAAAATCAAGGGGAACCCCAGGTATCACGAACGCGTCACGTTCGATTGTAAATCTGTTCCGCGTATAGAACGGAATGGAGAAAAAGGGGATTTATCACCTGTCAGAAGAGAGCCTGATATTCGATTCCCCGGCGAGTCGAGGATGGTGGCGTTACCTGGCGCCTTTCCAACAATGTGTTCACACTTTTTACCCTGCGATAAATTCCGCGCCCGTTCCGCCGATTGGCCAACCTTTCCTCGATCCGCGACCACGCATGCTTTGTGAAATCTGCGATCCTGCAACTTCTTCCTGCCTCGCTTTATGGATCACGATCCACCTCGGACCCCCGTTCCGTTCTACGGCTGGGTGTAACCGGGAAAAGTTAAATAGGATTTGCGTTCGGTTACGGTCCTCGTTTCTTCTTCCTTCTTCCATCATCTCGCAGCTCGTTAAAATTTTATCTGCATCGAATTTCCTTTTCATTTTCCCACGTTTTTCCGTGATCGTGTATCCCCCTCGCCAGGCGCCATTTTAATCGGTATTTAATTTATTCGTTAATTAATCGACGACCCGCAGTTTCGCGTATACGACTCGGTTCTTCAAGAGAAATTCAATTCACCAATGATGCGAGTATTATACGTTTGTCAATCGCGAGTAACCGCGGTGCAAGTACATCGCAGTGTATCTACACCGGTGACACGTGTTTAATCATACATCGATGAGAACAGAACGTTCGATTATCGGTTCGAACCGACGTCAAATCGTTTGATTTGTAAACCGAACCGCCTCTAGATGTCGTTCCGACGTTTGCAAACATTTCGCGGGCACGTTTGCACACGCGAAATATCGGACGAAAGGTGAAATATCGCTCACTCCTGGTCGATCGCGTCGTGTCGCGTCGCGACCAACAGTCGAACGTGAGAGAGTAAAGTTCCCGTGTTCAATTACGATAGCACAGATTATTTTAGTTGGAGGAGCTTCGACGTGTCTTCGAAGGTAATTCAGCGGAAGGCCACGTCGAAGATCGTCGGGGAAAATGAAGGGGAAAATGAAATTCTCCCCATTGTACGGGAAGTTTCTCAATCTAGCTGGACGCGACTGCCCTTTTATCACGCCGGTAATTAACTGCCTAACAATTTTTCTCAGCTACAACGCTCAATTTAAACTTTATTAATGAAGGGTCCACGCCTCGTTAAGCCGCCGCCCTTAATGACGAACGACCGTCTAATCCTACCACGATTACCCGTGTTTATCTCATTTCCGCAACCGAAACTACGAAATTTCTGCAATATTTCTTCGATATTTCACCTTTTCAACGCGAATAGGGACACCGAGTAGGCAGAGCCCAGACCTCCGCGATTCTCTTCTCCTGCCCCAATCTCTGGAAATAGTTTTTTAGCCTAGTTGAGCAACGATGATGCCAGTGTTACAGCCCCGTACTTTATAATTGTTGAAATATTTGTTTTCGTGGGATGCCAAATGAACCGAGATTAATTCGATCGATTCACGGGAGGAGAAACGGAAAGAACCGGGTGCAGCAGCCTCTAGTATGCTGGTAATCGGGTACAACGTTCGTGTACATCGTGTCACAGTTTCACATCGGCAACTTTGTACATTAATTTCACCTCGCTTAAACCTGCCATTCCCAGATTTCTCGTGCACTAGCTTATAGAATCCCACGTTATCCAGGTATCCGTGAGATGCTTTAGTTCAAGGGCACAATAGCATCTCGGAATCCATCGTATTTTCTTATTCTTCGTCTTATTTTTCTTCCTTTCTATACTCTTTCCTCGCGTGTTTTCTGCTTTCTTTGCTGCCTTTATTCGCTGCAATTCTCTCTCTTTTGCTCTCTTGATATTCTTAGACTGCGGGGGTTCCCTTTATTGCTAGGATTCTTTTTTTTATCTCTAAATTACCTTCTGCAGTGGCAATTTTCTCTCGTCGTTACAATTCCTCTGAAAATTCATTCTCTGACCCCCGCGATAAGCTTGTTTTCCCAGATGTGTTGAAAATCCGCCGAGTGATGGATTATGGGTCCTATCAGCGACGCGGGGTGGACCTTGTCCACAGGTGTATAGTTGAAACACAGATGGATTCTCCTTCCCTCAGGATGTCTCACGGTATTCGCGTATTCGTCAGGGCTGCTTCCGAAGAAAGTGACCATCTTCTCTGACCGCAAAAGATGGACGCCGTTCACGTCAGTATACCTAAGAACATCATAGAAATGTAAATAATCAGGTAGCAGTCGTTAGGAACGATAAAGGCAGAAAGCGACCACTAATGACGTGTAACCACCGAGTTGACCAGAGGTAATCTTAGGAGGACACACAAAACACACGCTTCTCATCGGATACTCGGCCAGGAGACAAGAGCATTGGTCGCGAAAGGCTAACTTCGGGAACTGTGGTTTATGTAAAAATCGAAGACCTAGAGAAGCGGAGGATTCGAGCATCCCCGTGAGAAGACACCAAGTGGCATCCCCATCTTTTCGTGAACCTCGGCCAGTGATATTTAACTTGGAACAGCACCTGCTTCCTGGCAAGCACACCGTGGTCGATTCCCACTCGAGTTGGCTTTTCTTTAACAAAGTACACGAAGTTTATAAAGATCATCAACAATACAAACTTTATTTCCGTCCGGTGCGTATTAATCACGGTAGATGCTAATTTTTGTAATATCGAGGAAATTATTAGCAATTTCCCAAGGATAAACGGTGGTAATTATTAAGAATTGATTAAAAATATCGAGTCTGAGACAACTCTTAGTCTATTTTTCGACAATTCTACTCGACTTCTCACAACGTTCGACGCTATACAGCTCTGTACAACTCTTTTTCTATTTCTTTTTCTTTACGTGGAGGAAATCCTCGAACGATGCCTCATCCCCTCCCACCAGTGGTATTTACGTTGGACCTCATCTACGAACCACGTTTCTCACACGTCAAACTCGTGTTTGGTCTAATTTCCTTACCACGAGTCTCACACGATATCGTAGGCGACCGTAAATGCTAACAAAGCGATTTGTTATCGAGTTGGAAGTTCAGCCTTCGTATCCAGGGCAGGTGTTTTCGAGGAAAAAATTCGATATGCGGCTTTCGATACGAGCGCATCAGTTGCTTTTAATTTAGAACCTCGCTGCATCGCGTTATGCTTGGCGTCGAACGGAAGCAGCTGGGGGAATAGCAGCAGGGATGCACGTGGAAACGGCAGGGCAGAGCAAGGAAGATTTATACCGTAGCAGAATCGCGAACTATTATAGCCCTTGCTCTGCCCGTTCGATTAATGCTTGGAATTTGTTTTCGTCGAATCCCGAAGCTTGTTCGAAGGTTCGCGAAAACAGGGTCGTACCCATAACGTCGAGTTTCTCGGATCCATTGAATCGCGTCCGTGAACTACGTGTCTTCCCGTTCGTTGAACCTTCGGAGAACCGTGCTGGTGATTCGAATTGGTTGCACTCGTGCCGCCATTTCGCGTTTATTTCACCCTCTGCGAACGGGGTTCGTTCCGTTTCGTCGATATCGCGGTATTCTTTCTTCCCCGCGACCCTATTCCCCCGCTGGAGAATAAACGCACTGGCAAAGATTTGTGTACCTTTAATTCTCGCGTAATTGAAATACTTTATCGCGTCGGGAAATGAGCCAGGCAGGCGAACAATGCGCGCGTTCGTGTACGCGTTGGTACACGCGTTCCTTGGCACGGAGGATTTCGCTTTAATCGTGGATTTAGCAAAGAAGCGTCGCTATCGACTGAAAGGCGGGCGACTTGTAACAAAATACAGGATCAACCCTGTGACCCAGTTCCCGGGGATGGAAGTGGTGGCAGTCAGCTGTTCGAAAATGTTCATATCGGGCTATATGGGACACAGGATACACGCGAGCACCGCAGGACTCTCGAAAACTATTTCGCCAAGCGGTTCACGTACAGCCAGAACCGTGCCGTATTTCGGTAATACCGAAAATATTGACTTCCAATGGAAATTGATTTAAATATGCCACGTGCACGGTTCAATGGCAATCCTACAGGCTGCCTTCCCATCCTTTTTTCCACGCTCGTGTTTATTCGGAACCGTTGAGAGGGTTTATAGATTTTTCGCGTCGATTTCGCCAGATAAAATTTCGATAATAAAATGTGGCAAATAAACGCGGCAAATGTGATTACCTCTCGTACAGCGGCGACCGGTATCCATGGAGCGGTTTTTGCTTGGCAATAATAATTTTTCGCTGCTTGACTTTTTCGATCGATCGATCGAACGGCAAAGTTTCGTTCCGTGTGTTCACAGCACTCGAATCTGTGGCGAAACCGAGTGGACTCGAATCGGCGAGAGGACTTCCGGGGGGAAAAAAAGAAATTGAACGGCTGAATATCGACAGTGCGTTTGTTCCTGCCAACGGTGGTACCGATTGAACTTTTTGGCCGGAGAATCTTGAAAATTCGCAGTTTATTCGACAAATTCCCCGTCTTTTTGCGCGCCGCTTGAAAAGCAAACGGATTCATCATGTGCGACCATTGCGCGTAAGTGTTGGACGCAAAGGGGGGCAAAATAACGCAGGATATAAGTAAAAAGTATACAGAGCTGTTACGTTTCGTTGGTAGGAAAGTTACGAGTCAAAAGGGATACGCGGGACAGGTGACGTGCAAATGCGAGCAGTGAGTATACTTTGCAAAGGACTTTTTGATCTTTCGAAAGTTGCGCATCGTAATAAACTTGGCATTACGTTCACAGCGGCGACAAGAAGAACGGCGAGGGCAAGGATAAAGACTACGGTGGATGTTGCTCGCGAAAGTACGATCATTGAAATTTCTCTTACCTTTCTCGTATGTAAAACAGCTGACAATGCTCCTTGCTACCTGTATGGCCGCCGGCATGAAAAAATTTGTCAGAAATCTACATGCTCGAGAACTATGCAGCTTAAAGTAGTCAGATTTAGGACAGCGCCGGTGGTTTAATTAGACACTTAAGTCGCGCGTTTAATCGAATTACCCGACTGAATGTGCAGAGAGAGAAAGGCAGTCGGAGGATGTTGCGGTTCTAAATGCTGCGCCGGAACGCAGGAGCAAGGAGGGTGTTGCACCGGAGGTACAGAGCCGAAGGAACAGAAATCTTGTTGTGGCCAGGATAACTAACCGAGTTTCCTCTTAAGGAAGCCTTTAAGAATGCTCTGGCTTCGAAGCAGACGAACAACCGGTAAACATTAGAAACGATAAGCGTCGGGCCGGCGGCCATATAGGGATCGTGCAATTCGCCATCGCCACGATCTAACCAATTTTCTCACGAAATTTCCAACAAATTTTCCACCCGACACGATGCGACACGACGGACACATTTCCCCGAGTTATTGTCCGGAATTTTATCCTCTAGTCGAAAATGTCGGTAAACGAGACGTTGTATGAGCGAGGGTTATTACGTTGGAATTAGGGCGTCGTTGACTTTAAAGGGGAAAATTCCACGATTCCCAGGGAAATAGGATGCAAATTGATGTCGTTTTCAGAGCGAGAGAGGCGGCCGGTGGCTGTTGCATGTCCGGTTGTTGCAAGGATAAAGCGAAGCCGAAGGAACCGGATGCCCCCTCGAGATGCTGCGCCGATCGGAAATGATGTTCCCTCGTTCACCCGCGTAACTTTTGTATCCCACTTAACAATGTAATCCTTCGACCAAGATAATAAACGATTCTTCCACGTACATACGCCTGTTTACGTCACTGTTTTCCAATCGAAACTCATCGCGCGAGACAAACGAAAGCTACGCGTCCCAAATCGTCCGAGCTACTCTCACCGACGCGTCATTCGGCCCCCGACCAACCTCCAAATTCGCAAGTACCATGTGCGACCATTGCAGGTAACCTCTTTCAGATCCTACGCGAAGCCGTGTCACGCATGCAAATTATTCGCACGCTTTCAGAACCTTCAAGCCACTTTTGGAAGGGCCGGATCCTAGGAGATTCTACGAGAAGGACAGACCGCCAATCGTCAGCAAATTACCGATGATACCGTGAGATCGATTTTTCCACTAATACTCTTCGAATTTCCTCGTGACGAAGTTTACCGAGGAAACGAGGATCGTTTCCACGCGCAGAGACTAGTTACCAGATAACGAAGCATTTACTATTTACGACAGGAGAGCCGATGCTCCTGACACAGGCTGCTGTTCCTGGAGGCAGACCTGCTGCGACGGAATGTGTTGTAGTCGTGTCGGAAACTGCTGCTCGTCCCAGCCTGAAGCTCGATACACCCCGCCCGAAAAACCGGCGCCCGCTCATGGTTATGGTTACGGCTATCAGCCGGCTATGTCGAGTTACTCCCTTGGAATGACCGGTAAGTGTCGTAACATTTGCAACGAATTCCTCCCACTCGGACACGTTAATGTCCGTCCTTCCGACCGAAATTCGGCGGCAACGTGGACAAAAGTGTCCCTAATTGAGCGGTACGTCGTCTTCATGGCGACCCTTTGCTAGCTACTTCGCAGGTGGACCCAGTGGAAACGAGATCCCTTATGTTCGCATGCTCGTAAAGACGAACGGGGTTTTAGAACGATCAAAGACACGCTATTAAAAAATGTCCGCAATTCCCGGAGGACGTGCGAGCAGAAGGATTCTGGCTCACGGGTCTTTGAGGAAAAGCGGATTTTCTAGGTCGCTGGCCTGCCACTTGAAACACGCATTCCGGTTTTATTTCTTTCGCAATTAAAATCAACTTTCGGCTCTTTCAAAGTTTCGAGATTCCTTCGCGTCCAGCGAGAACCTCGACGCGTTTAAATTTCTTCCGGACGACGACGTCGAGATAACGTCGCGGCACCGGAAACGGATGAATTAATTCGCTGGTTGCGACGGTAGGCTCGACCCGTCCACGTCCATGCCAAGATGTTAACTTAAACGAGCTTTCGAACAACCTGTTCGCGCGATAACCGCCATGGATAATGGGATTACGCGAATCGTCGCAGAACACGAGCTAATTCGACAAAAACTCGAAGGAACTGGGATCGATTTATGCAAAGTGCCGAGCAGACCGAGTTAACCGGAACCACGTCGAATCGTTAATCGATTAGCCTTGGTCTGCTTGCTACGTCGCATTAGCCAAACCGTATCAGTAACGACCGATCAAAGAGGAAGGTTATCGGGGACCGTGTTTAATTTTCTCGCTGTTCTCCATGGTCCTCGGCACACGTTTGAACTATTCTGCCCGTCTAGACACTCGCTCGTGTTTTTCTCCTCCCCGCGTTCCCTAAGGCTGCGTGGTGGTTCGTTCCAAGAACCAACGAGTTTGCAGGGCTTTTCGTACTTAAACGATTTTTCTTATCAGCCGCCACGATGCCGGACAGAGTACCCTGCAGGAGTACGCGCGAGGAGAAAAAGCTGCCCATGTGCTACGGGGGTAACTGTCAGGACTCCACGGAGGGCACGAGCCAACCGGACCAGAGCGAATCGACACCGAGGCAATCTGAGCGATAGAGAGGGATCCGGCTCGAATTGAAACGGTGGTCGAGAGTGCACGACCTCCCATTGGAAGATGAAGTCGAGAAAAGTGACAAGCGACGTTCCCGAACCGGATGGAAAGATTCGCGAGAACGATTATTGTTTCTTCCTGGCACGCGAAACTTCGTTTTTGACTCTCCGCTTCGAAAGTATTTCCGGGGTCGAAATAAAATTTCCCGTGGGATGAAATGAAATAAATTGTCTCGGTTTTCCACTGATTCGCGGGCGAAAGAGTCGGGTCGGTTATTGGGCACGGCAAAGAGAAATTGCGGGACAAAAGGACAAAGGACGCGCGATCAGAAGCCGGCAAATAATTATACGCCGTAGCCAATGTTAATTTTACCTCGCGTCCAATTATCACGTGATCCTCCTACCCGAGCGTGTGTCGCTTGTTCGACGTTTAAAGATTTATCAGCGAGGGCTAATTTGTCGTCGCGCAGGGTGTACGTTCCGCTCCGTGACAAAGGATCCGATGAAACTCTTCGGTTACCATATACCTCCACGCATCTCGTAAATTTCTTCGCGAGGCAGCTTGCAACGATGAGAATAGCCGGGTAAAGTATAACCGCGACGTGGGACGGTCGTAATAGCCGGTTGCTAATTGTACAGCGAGGCGTAAGGGATGACGAGACGTCGAGCGAATGGGCAAACTTTCTCGCACACGCTTTCTTTCTTCCGAATCTCGAGGAGCGTGGGTGGTGGTGGTCGAGAAGGACGGAATTAATCGTGACGGACCGTCACCCTTAGCGTTAAACCGGATTCCCCCCAAAGCCACTAAACCGTGGCCCAATTCACAGTCGGGTGTCCATTCATCAAATCGCAAGACCCTCTTATCGACTCGAAAATAAGTGGAAACTGGGCCGAACTACATACTGGTGACCGTGCAATGACGCACAAGACATATTTCCGGCAAACAAGACGTACAAGAGCCGCATCTCGCCAGACCTTACAACCTTCTTCGCTGCGGCATTCGCCTCCGCTGCGGATCTGCTCGCGGTATCGTTGCATTTGATTTTCTAATTTGCTCGTCAAGCAAACACGCGTCAGGACGCGGTTCGCTGTCGAGCTCGAGGAGACCGCGAGACTCGAAATTCTCCAAGAAATCCCCGCTATCTCTGCCAGACACGCTTTAAGCTCCGCGTTCCCGCCACAGACCTCCGCGACAGCATCAATTTGCTTCGAGGCGATGCTTTATGCATCGACTGGGACCATTCCGGGATACGTCCAGAAAGCTCCGGTTGCTGCCAGAGGTCGAGGAGAGTCTCTCTCTTTCTCTCGGATGTCGACTGGCGAATGGCGAAACGGCGCAGGGAGGAGAGAGAACGAAAGGACGAAGGATGCATGGAAGATTGGGAGAAGGTGCGGGAAACGGATGCGTGCAGATGCAAGCGCAAAGAGCGATCGTCCACGGAATGGAGTGGCTGCTGGACGGAGGCAGAAGTGCGTGAGCATCGGAAGGGCGTCGCGGTGAGGGTGCCGTTGAATGCTGAGCGCACGCGCTACGGGAACAGAGGTTTGGGGCCACGCGGCGGCACCAGTCGCTCCTCTCAAACCGCGAAACACGTCCCGGCGCCCTCGAGGACGAGAATCGCGAGAGGCCAGCTCTCTCTGTCTCTCCCTCTGCCTCGCGCGCTCTGTCTGTCTGTCTCTCCGTTGTTTCCGTTACCCCCGGTACGTCGCGAGACATCCGCGCGAGTCGTGTTCGTGTGCCAGGTGAAAATTCATTCCTAAAGGAGTTCTGTCGCGCATCCACCGGGCCCCGTATCGGTATCATGACCCTGTATCGCTCGTACGGGTGCCCCCGGCAAGGACCACGACCACAGGATCACGACGACGAGGACGACGATCCCGACGTTTCGTCCGTCGACGAGATTCAGCGAAACGTAGCCGCGCCGTAGACTGACCAGTGCGTGTGCATGTGTGTGTGTATGTCGCGTGCGTGCGTGCGAGTGTGCGTGCGTTTGTCGAACGGAAAGGTCGACCTTGGTTCACCGGAAGCGGCGTGCACCGCAGTCACACGGTGATTAACGCGTGTTCGAGGTGCTAACTTCCTCTCGACGAAGGCAAAGAAAGTTTCGGGGCAACGGGGATACAGTGGCGGTCGTTTTTGGCGAGACGCGATAGGTGCCTTCGTACCACTTCGGGGAGCTACCTGTTCCAGATAGCAAGACTTCCCGTCGTAGTGTTCCGCTGGAAGGAAGCTCTTCCAAGTCCTCCGACGCAAACCGCGCACAACCTTCGGCTTAATTAGCCATCGAATGAACCGACCTTTCGTTACGAGCTCGCTGTGAATGTTAGTGCTCGCTCGTTAATTGCGAGCAAATTAACCGTTATCAAGATCGCCGCGTACAACGACGACCGCTCCGAACATCGTTGCTTGTACCGGCTTGGTCGAATTCGTTTTTCCGCTGGCTGCGCTGAGAGATTAGCCCGCGCGTTCCTCGCACGAGTTCCAGGCTAATGGCGGCGAGAGGGTAGGCGAATCGGGGGATCCGCTGGTGTTTGTTCGTTAAGTATTAATCGCTAACGAGACACCCGCGGCGGATTAGTTCGTTAGCGACTTATAGTTTGGTCTTTGAAGGAATTAGAGCTCCTGACTGCGTTTAACGCATCGATAAGTCTTCGTCGCGACTTTAACGAGAATTCCAGTCTGCCCCGACACTGGGCCCGATCGCTCCTCGCGTCTATCTATCGGCTGAGCGCGGATGATCGACGTTCGATTAATTAAAAGTTTTCCACTCGTTCGTGCAATCCTCTTGCTCGTTACGCGGATCTCCGCTGTTTCCAAGTACAAGCGGAGGATTTGTTCGCGGACTTGAAACCGATAAACGAATCGAAGATTCTTCCCTTCGAGTTCCCATCGGAGGAGGTGTAAGTTCGGGAAGCGAACCTTTTCGGGGATGCGGAGGAAGCTCTCTCGGAGCATCGAATTAACTCATCGCGAAATGCGTTGGAAAGAACAACGAAAGGCGAATCGAAATCGACCGATATCGCGCCACTATCGCCCGCTGCCAAATAGCTAAACTTCGTTAACGAGAAACCCCGGTTTCCTCCATTCCCAGTCGCGGCCTGGCTTTGTGGAACGACCGCCCGGAGAATCAGCTTTCTTAAGCTTGAAAAGGGTAAACGTTGCCGCCATCCTTTCGTGGGATCCTGTTTACCCAGAGGAATCCCTGGTACGCGGCTAAAATTGCCTCTCCCCGAGCTTTACGTCAATTATCTCTCGAAGATTACGCGGAACGACGCGTAAAAGCGTTGCTCGCGCGACTAGCGCGACTCGCCCGAGTGTCCGAAGGAACGAACGCGCGCGTGTGCCGACTTTTCCAGCTGAATCTTGTCGACGGATAATCCGCGCGTTTCCTTCCACCCCTCGTTCGTTTCCGTTCGAGACGCAACCCCTTGACGTGCCTTTATATCGGGACACTTTCTTATTTTTCCACCCTCGAGGTTCCTTCGTCGTTCGTCGATCGAACACGCGCCTCTATCCATAATGTCTGACGTTGTTCAAAGGGGGACGAACGATCAGGCCGCATCGTCCAAGAATCGGGGTGGAAACGGGACTGAGAAACGAACGGAACGTTGAACGAACGAGAGAAACACCGTGAGACCAGGACGAAAGTCTGTCGAACGAAACTTGGACGAACCACGATCGATCTCCGAAAGAGAGGCTTCATCCTCGAGCTTCATCGTGATCGAGTTGCTCTTGTCCCGGAGGAACGAGCGGGTTCTCGACGGATTCGTGTTTATACACTGTGTGATTAGTCGTGGCACAAGACGCTGATTCAGTTTCCCGCTTATCTCGTTGTTCTCGCGGACGATCGACCACCGGGGGAAGAGAACACC